CACAGACTAAGCCTGTCAGGCTTATAAAATCGTAAATTGTGAGCCTGTATTCAATAAGGAAAGTCCCGTGAAATTGACTGATTTTATAAAATTAAGGAGGAAGTTCTTTAAAACTAAATTTAAATGAGAATTTAGTAAGGGATGGCTTTTTAATGGTAAATTTATATTTTATTTTTCCCTTTTCCTTATAATATGATATTTTTTCTACTCTCACCTTTAAAATGCCCTTTATCGTACATGTTTCCATGACACTAAGTGATCTTTTAAATACACATTGACAAGTTGTGGCTTTATGGCGTTTTAGTCACGGGCTAAAGTTAGTTTTAAGTTACTTGGATGTTGTCAAATGTCATACAATCGTTAAAATAAATTGCCCTTCTTGTAATATAATAATGTGGAAATTATTTTATTATCTTATTACAAAAATAAAAAGTATTAATTAATACTTTATTTTTATAGTTATTTAAATAGTTACTTAACGCCAATACATATTTAAAAAGTTTAAATGCTAGTTTGTTCTGACCTTATGATTTTGCCGGCAGTAAACTAGATTTAACTAAAAGCATTAAAAATTATTGGTGGAGACCACCGTGAAATGTCCATAAAACAATTTCTATAAATTTACTGTGAAAAACTGCTTCTATATCATCTTTTAAACGGTTGTTAGTCTATTTTCATGGGATAAATTTTGATTTACACACACAAATTTGACATTTTGACTGGCGCGTCGGTAATGCAGATTCCCAAGTTAGAAATTGTTACGCTAGTTACTCTATTTCTTTATAGATGTCGCTCTATACAAATATTTAATTTCAATCATTTTTAGACAATAATAAGTATTTGTTGTAGAAAAAGTATAGTATGCAACTCGTTTATAAACTTTTCTAGACACTTATTTAAATTCGTGACTAAAATGGCGTTTATCAAACTTCATACATAATATACTATAAAATATGTAATAAATAATGAAACTAGTTAATATTTTATTATTAATATTTATTTTTAAACATGAGAAGGATATTTTAATAGTAAGGTGTTAATTAATGTTAATTAAAGATTTAATTATGAATATAAATCATGTTTCATTTCCGATGTGTCAAAAATAGTAGGTTAAAAGTGAAAATATATAACATACATTGTGCTAAACTGTTTGTATTTTATTATTTTAAGATAACTGTCGACCAGTATTATACTGGTATATATATATATATATATTAGACTTGTTCAAAAAAATCGAATATTTTTTTTTCTTCAAAGCCCGCATTGAAATATCTTCCTACTAGTGAAAAAAGAAGCCTGTGAAAATTGTAGCTCTTAATATTAATATTTAGAGGTCGCTCATCGTGAATTTCTATTTTACGTTTAAATAACACAGGAATTCTTTTTTCTTAACTTTGAAATTTTATAACTCGTTTTTGAGTGAACATATTGGAATGAACTCTATATATTTTTGAAGAAAATTGAACGATCTACAAAAAATGTCTCTTATAATTTTTTCGTAAATTCACTCCTTTAATAGTTATTCAAGGTTGAAATTAGACATAAAATAAATGTAACGTTTAAATAACAGAGGAATTTTTTTTTACTTTTAATTTTATAACTTTTTTTTTGAGTGAACATATTGGAATAATTTCAACCTTGAATAACTTTTAAAGGAGTGAATTTACGAAAAAATTATAAGAGACATTTTTTGTAGAACGTTCAATTTTCTTCAAAAATATATAGAGTTCATTCCAATATGTTCACTCAAAAACGAGTTATAAAATTTCAAAGTTAAGAAAAAAGAATTCCTGTGTTATTTAAACGTAAAATAGAAATTCACGATGAGCGACCTCTAAATATTAATATTAAGAGCTACAATTTTCACAGGCTTCTTTTTTTACTACTAGGAAGATATTTTAATGCGGACTTTGAAGAAAAAAAAATATTCGATTTTTTTGAACCAGTCTAATATATATATTTACATCTCTTCTGTAATGCTGCGTCCATACATTTGGTTTTGCACATGTAATTCTGCGTCTCAGGTATTTCTGCATCCATATATGGACGCCGAAATACAATCTTTGTTAAAAGGTTCTTTTCTCATGTGACTATAACAGGAATTTTTTTTTATATGGACGCAAAAATTTCGTCAACATCTAATAGCCCCATATACTGTAATTCAAACAAAATCCGGTAGGGGCGTTTGAATCGGAATCGTATACTTCAAATAACTGTATATTTTTTCTCAACCTTACGATATATTTGCGTCCCCTTAAAATATACATAGGTTTTATCAATAATTCATATTTTCAAGCTTAAGCGTTCGCCGAAATGAATATTTTTCTATCTGTTCTTACGATATGCTTGCTTCCGCTCTAAATAATATTGTCTAGCGGGGTAGTGCAGTTGCAGTGGTTTTTTTAATAACCTCCAAATAAACCGCGCACCACTCAATGTGTCGCGACCAAAAATTTCGTCCTTTTTCAAAACGACATATCTTTTTTGTTTCTTGAACGATTTTATTTTGGTTTGTGATGTCTGCTAGCCCCATTCCCTGGCAATTCATGCTATAGATATGAAGCTCACGGTTCTTCAAGTAAATTTACTACAGGGTGATATGTAAAACAGTGAAAAATTTTAATAACTTCATCCAAGCCCCGTTTGTAAAATAAATATTTTTTTCTCGTTTTTACTTTGAAATAATGAAGTATTATGTCTTACCTTGAAACATTTTTCAAATTTTTCGAATTGGAATCTTAGCAATAAAAATATGATTTTTTTTTTCATTGGAGTACATTTGATGTTTTTTTGTAGGCAATACTCTCAGCCTTTTTAAGAACAAAAAGATTAGATGGTGAAAGATTGTTCCTTGAATAATTCTGAACAAGCGACAAGCAACAAACTTCCATTATTTTCAGAGGAACCTAAGCAAAGACCACTTTTTCAAAATTACATTTTAGTGAAAATTTTCGAAAACTAAACCTGAAGCGATATTTACGTTCGTGATATGTTTTCTTCATAATTATGACCTGATTGTAATTCAGTTGTCAAATTTAGGTTTCAGATAAAACCAAAATCACCAAGAATCAATATTCGAAAACAATTCCTGGATGATAAATGTCTTAATAAAATCTGATTGCTGGATTTTACTGTTTTTTTACTGTGTTTTGCATTTTTAGTACGTTATTATCATGTAACTGAATGATCAAATTGTTGGTGGACGACAATGCCTGTCCGCATCGCGCTTATATCGTAAATAAATATTTAAGGGACCATGATATTGAGAGAATGAATTGGCCACCTTTGTCTCCGGATATGAATCATATTGAGCATGTCTGGAGCAGGATGAAACTGAAGATGAAAAAGAGGAAAGGACGCATGGAAAATTTGGATGAATTGGTAAATTCGATTCAGGAAGAATGGGAAGCCATACCCCAGTAATTTCTAAGGAACTTGGTCTAGGGAATGCTCAGGAGGGTTAACGAATTATTACGGGTTAGGGGAGGGCCAACGCAATATTGAAAGTTATTATTGTTATTGTTACATTTTTCTGTTGAATGTTAAAGTTTTTATTATGATTATAATATAATATTATTAGATATTATCTTCGCATAAAATTTTCAAAAATAAACAAACAAATTTTGTATTTAACTTTATTACCAATTAGGTAGGTACTTATCAGTAATAAGTTATCACTAGTGTGCAATATAAATGTAATTTATGTAACATTATCCTTATAAGTGCACTCAAACAAAAATGAATCCCCAAATGGCATTGGCAAAGGCATGTTATTGAGACATTTAACAGCCGGGAATTGTTTTCGAATTTTGATTCTTGGTGATGTAGGTTTCATCTAAAACTTAAATTTGACAACTGAATCACATCAGGAGGTCAAAATTATAAAGCAAACATGTCACGAACGTAAATATCGGTTCAGGTTTAGTTTTCGCAAATTTTCTCCAAAATGTCATTTTGAAAAAGTGGTTTTTGCTTAGGTTCATCTGAAATTAATGGAAGTTTGTTGCTTGTCGCTTGTTCAGAATTATTCAAGGAACAATCCTTTACCATCTTATCTTTTTGTTCTTAAAAAGGCTGAGTGTATTGCCTACAAAAAAGCATTAAATGTACTCCATTGAAAAAAAAAACCTTATTTCTGTTGCTAAGATTCCAATTCGAAAAATTTGAAAAATGTTTCAAGGTAAGACATAATACTTCATTATTTCAAAGTAAAAACGAAAAAAAAAATATTTATTTTACAAACGGGGCTTGGATGAAGTTATTGAAATTTTTCACTGTTTTACATATCACCCTGTAGTAAATTTACGTGAAAATCCGTGAGCTTCATATCTATAGCATGAATTGCCAGAGAATGGGGCTAGCAGACATCACAAACCAAAATAAAATCGTTCAAGAAAGAAAAAAGTTATGTCGTTTGAAAAAGGACGAAATTTTTTGTCGCGACATATTGACTGGTGCGCAGTTTAGTTTACCAATCACGTGTTTGTTTAATATTAATATTATTTGTGTTTGGGTAAGTATAATTGTTTTTATTATTTATGATATTCATTTTATCGGCCAAATTTAAACGAAAGAGATTTTTTAATTTTGTTATTAATAGTTTAATTAAAAGTTTAAAAATAATTTATTTGATTAGCGAAAATTATTTTTTAAAGTAATTTTTTATGGGCCTGAAGAAAAGTCATATAATTAAATTTTTAATACCTACTTAATAACTCTAGCGTACGGGATTAATTTTTAATATGTTAAATTAACATACAAAATGTATGCCACTGACATTTTTAATTTTCGATAGCATAATAGCATAATTTAATTATGATAATTGTAGACAATAAGGTTCCTTATTTATATTTCTGGTATTAAATATTTTATTAGATTTAGCTAAGAAATTAATTAATATTTCCAAATAACGCTTAGATGACTATAAATAAAAAAGCCTTAAAAAAAAAAGATTGTGAAAATTTAAAATCCACACACAAAGGAATCTTCGATAACAAAACATGGCAACAAATAAAGGTACCTATTCTAAACAATAATTTTTAGATTTTGGTTGTTCAGGGTGTCCCGGTCTGTAAAGAAAAATTGTTAAATAAATTTGTAAATTTAACCTGCAATTTTTTTAAAACAAAAAATTTATGCGATTCTTCACTCGTTAATATTTTTGCTATGATTGCCTTAATTTAATACATTTATTAAAAAACTTTAAATAATAAAACTTGAAGGCAATACGATCTCCTTTTGGACCAAAAATATCATCCACACGGAAAAAAATAATCGGTAGAGGCTACCGATTGGCAATCGGTATCAGCTACCGATTGCCAATCGGTAGACTCTACCGAAAAAATCGGTAGTCTCTACCGAAAAAAAATCGGTTCCCTCAACCGATTTTTATCGGTAGTAGCTACCGATTATTTTTCGGTAGAGTTTACCGATTTTTTCGGTAGCCGTAACCGAGAAAATCCGCATCGATGCGCTGTTAGAAAATTTAAAAAAATATATTAATACTTAAAAATATTAACAATTAAAAATAATATTAAACATTATTCAAGTTAATAAAAATTACTCTTTTCAGTCAAACATTTTGAGATGGTATTCATTGTAATTATTAAAAAATGCTATTCAAAGAAAAATTAATGAAATAGTCAGTGTAAATAATTGTATATATTTTCTCATGTTCTCGATTAAAACATTGTATTTTGATTCCCACTATCATGCTTATTGCGTTGAAATTGATTATAAATCAAGCATGACAAAGAATAAGAGCAAATTATCAAATTTAGAACCTTGTTTATTAATACAAAAAAAAAATCTCTACTTTGTAGCCACCAGACATTTAATTTAATATTTATTTAGAATTGTAAAAAATTTAATAAAAATTACTCCTCATTTTTAATATTTTTGTATTTCAAATTTATTTATACCTCAAAAAAAAAATACTATTTTCTATTTAATAAAAAGCGAGTATTTAACTTCTCGCTAAAAAAATACAAAAATTTTCAAAAATTGGTAATCGATTTTTTCGGTAGCCTGCACCGAAAAAATTGGTAGACTCTACCGAAAATAATCGGTAGCTGCTACCGATAAAAATCGGTTGAGGGAACCGATTTTTTTTCGGTAGAGACTTCCGATTTTATCGCTGCTACAGATTGCCAATCGGTAGCCTCTTCCGATTATTTTTTTCCGTGCAGTATAATAAATTTACAATATTCTTTAAATATATATATTTATTTCTTTGGACGGCTGTTTGACATTTTAAGGCCAAAGTTTATAAAAACTTTAAGCCTTAGTTTTTTTTTTAACCAATCTTTTATTTTAATTTTTTTATTTTCAACCTTTTATTTTAAAATAAGATGATAATAAGTTTTATTTAATGCTACCAAATAATGGTATGTTGATTGTATTTTTTTGTTTGTTGCATTATTTGAATATGATATTAATTATCCATTATTTCTTAATAAATATTATGGACATAAGCTGTGTTTCATTTTATGTATACATGTTCTGTTTAAAAGTAATATTTGAAATTAAATTTTGAAATAAAGCATTACACAGTAAATATTTGAACTGAATTGTCGTTAACAGCTTTATTAAATCTGAGATCCATATTATAAACAATTGTGTATTTAAAACAAGAAATAAGACCGGTGGAAGTAGTAAAATGATCTGTTAAGTCTTAAAAATGCATTTTTTGTCTTAGCGCGCTATAGCGGTATAATCCAGATTTCAATGTAAAATCTCCCAAATATATCCCCCTTGTATAATGATCCAAGAAATAACCATTATAAATTTTAGTCATAATGTGTACTTAAAAACCACCTTATATTCTAATTAAACAAAAGATGTGCATAATGGATGATTTAAATTTTAATATTGATACTGATTTTGTTTCCAACAATATTATTATAATATTACCTATGGACTTTAAAAGTATGATAATTTGTACTAAAATATATGGACGTAAAAATGAAGATAATTTGAATGGACGTTAAAATGGCAATAATTTGGACTGTAAAATATATGGACGCCAAAATGATGTATTGATATAAAGACGCAGAAATAACACAATAATGTTTAACAAATTTTTCGTGATGTATAATGAAATGTGAAACCAAATTTGAATTCCTTAATCAGTCAATTTGCGAAAACACTTAAAAAATCTTAATATACATCATTGGTATTTGTGGATGCATAAATGATGTTACAACAGAATGACGCAGATATGATAGAAGGATGTATATATATATATATATATATATATATATATATATATATATATATATATATATATATATATATATATATATATATATATATATATACAGGGTGAGTCATTTAACTTGAAACTTTGAAATATCACATGTGCATACTACTGCAGTAGTATGCAATTTACGAAAAAATGTTTAAAATAAAAATTAAATGATTCGAGGGAGGAAATCAATCAGTACTAAAATTGGTCCTCATACTCTCCTCCTCATAGGGGGAGCAGGAGGTAACTCAATTAATTAATTTAATCCTAATTGAGGTATAAAATAATGGTATTTAGTTATAAATAATAATTATTACTGAGGTATAAAGAAACTATTTATAGTTTAGCATTATTTAATCAATTTAGTTCGAAGATTAATTTGCAAACAAAAAGACCTCCTTTCGTTAAGCAGTTATTCATAATGGATTTTTTAACAGTGGAAGAAAAAATGGAAATGATTTTGATTTATGGAGAAGCAGGCAGGAATCTTGATGATGCCGTTAATATCTACGCTCAGCGTTTTCCGGATAAAATTCGATCACGTACTTCATTTCGCCGTAGTCAAGCAGTTTACTACAAACGGGAGTGTTCAACCGAAAAAAAGAGTTCGTCGAACAAATATTTAATATTGTTATTTTGAGCACCAAGTATTTTTTTCAAAAATTATTGGAAAATCGTACACAGAAGAAAAATCGAATAAAAATTATTTTTTTCATTACGCGCCATCTATTAGAAATATGAATAAGAGATATTTCAAAGTTTCACCCTGTATATATATATGGGTCATTCCACTAAATAAAATTTTGTTGGGGTGTGACCCCCGTTCAAATCTTTAGTGTCTAGATTTTTTTTTAAATCTGCAAGGGCCACACCCCCAAAAAAATGTATTCTTTGGAATGACCCATTTTTAGTATATTACAAATATATATGGCGTGTAAACTTTTTAACGCACGCAAATAAAACCCAATATTCATTTTTAGAAAACTATAAAAAATAAAGTTTTCTTGTTGTAAAATCTTAAAATCTAAATTGAACATTTTCGTTGACAATTTCTATCAAATATTTAAAGTTAAAGGGCACAATAAAACGAATATTCCGCAATCAAGTTTGTTATTACTCTCGTGTATACTAAGAAGTAGATAGAGAGGAAATTTACTTTTAGTTGGAAAACGGTTTCCATCAGCAATTCATTTTTAGTTCGGTTGGTTGGCAAAACTGTTATTCGGGTTTAATTGGACTCGGTATTACTGCAAATTCGCTGTTATACCACAATATCGGATTATAAGGTTACGACGTTCGTCGTATTAGAAGAAACTTTCGCCCAGGGAAAACTAACGTTACCGTAAAGTACTCATTTAACTTTGATAGCATATTTGCGATTGCTTCAGGAAATATGGGATTTACATAAAAGGTGACATAAGTAACAAATTAGCAATATGAGAAAGCTTTCAGTAAACAAATATCAGGTTCAATCATATTTGAAAAAAATATATATAATTACTGCAGTATATTTTTTGAAAATAAATAGTTATTACATTTTCAAAAATCACTATAAAAAACTTTTATTGCTAATGACTTTATTGCGGTTTAGTCACGGGCTTTTATTTATTTATGTTTAAAAATTCTGCTTAGAATTTATCGTAAAGAATTTAATGCTCATTATTTTTTTGTTTTATTTTAATTCGAAATATTTGAAAATGGACTCAATCCGATACATAAGCAGTTTTTCAATGTGAAAGTGAAGTGAATGTGTTTATGGGTACTTCACATTATTGTGTGTCAGTTGTCAAATGTCTTACAATGGTTAGAATAAAATGCCCTTCTTGTAAAATAATTTAAAAATTATTTTATTATCTCAATACAAAAGTATTAAATACTTAGTTTCTCAACGCCAATATTTAAAAAGATTTTAATTCGTAGTACACTGTTATAAAACTAAAAGATTGAGTTTGTAGTTTAATTTTATTTTGTAAAATTTTAACATAATTTTTTGTAATTATTATGAAAATATTTTAGTGAAAGTTTTGTAAAAGTAATTGCAATTTTGTAAGCATTTTGTTGATTCAAAGGTTACAGATTATTTTGTTAATGTTTAACAAATTATTTCGTTGAAAAAGTACACGTGATTTAAGGCTGTAAATCAAAACATTTCCCACTGACAATATGCAACAACAAGTTCAACTGGCTTCAGCGTCTGCAACTTATGTTTCTGCTTTTATTCTAATTCGTAACGTGTTCGTAAGAATATATAAATTACCAGAAATCTGTTATTATTGTTGTTCGGATTCCTTATACATATTTCATGAGTATATCCGATCACTGGTTTTCAAACTAATTAGGGGATAAAGTGAAGTGGGTTAAAGTTACGAAATACATCAGTAAGTGTTGTAGTAGTACCTACTGATTATTATATTGTACCAAAGTTTTTATAATTTAATGATTTCAGAATGGTGTGTTATTTAATTATGTGGATTTTATTTTTGTGTTTATGATTTATGATTAATAAAGCTACATTTTTTATTAAAATTATTTTCAATTAAGTTTCCAATTTCCAACAAATATATTTAAAGTATACTTTTGTTACTGGGTCTTTTTTGTACTTTTTGAAAATGACAAGAATTATGGTTGAATTATTGACATTTAATTTTGTTATTAAATCTACAAACTACTTATTCAATTAGTTAACAGATTACAATTGGTTGTAAACTTACCAGTTATGTGGAAATGGATTAACATAAAATCTGGTTAATATTTGGTTAAAATTAACAAA